AGTATAGCTAAAAAATATCGGAAAATGTAATTTCATCATTAAAAACAAACATACATTTATACAACAATGGACAAAGACTGTTTTAAGTCATACTAGATACATATGTTACAGCAACGCCCATTTATGATGACGTCACATAAATACAGGCACATGTTCCTTACATGAACTGGTGTCAGAACTGTTGTGCATTGGACTTGAATGTATATGAGCATTATAAATGACAGTGCTGCAAACTTTGAACTTGAATGTATATGAGCATTTTAAATGACAGTGATGCGAACTTAGGACTTGAATGTATACGAGCATTATAAATGACAGTGATGCGAACATTGGACTTGAATGTATATGAGCATTATAAATGACAGTAATGCGAACTTTGGACTTGAATGTATATGAGCATTATAAATGACAGTGATGCGAACATTGGACTTGAATGTATATGAGCATTATAAATGACAGTGATGCGAACTTTGGACTTGAATGTATATGAGCATTATAAATGACAGTGATGCGAACATTGGACTTGAATGTATATGAGCATTATAAATGACAGTGATGCGAACTTTGGACTTGAATGTATATGAGCATTATAAATGACAGTGATGCGAACATTGGACTTGAATGTATATGAGCATTATAAATGACAGTGATGCGAACTTTGGACTTGAATGTATATGAGCATTATAAATGACAGTGATGCGAACATTGGACTTGAATGTATATGAGCATTATAAATGACAGTGATGCGAACTTTGGACTTGAATGTATATGAGCATTATAAATGACAGTGATGCGAACATTGGACTTGAATGTATATGAGCATTATAAATGACAGTGATGCGAACTTTGGACTTGAATGTATATGAGCATTATAAATGACAGTGATGCGAACATTGGACTTGAATGTATATGAGCATTATAAATGACAGTGATGCGAACATTGGACTTGAATGTATATGAGCATTAGAAATAACAGTAATGAGAACTTTGCGTGCAAAAATCTTCTCAAGCGAAATTTTATTTGTTTCAATATAATTTGAGTTATTCAACTTTTAATTAGGTTATATAAGATCATAACGCTGCAGTGTAAGTACACAATACATCTCCAGCACATACGCAATCATACACACATATGGAGGTATTAGCCAGGTGGCATATGACTAGTAGTTAGCACCTGATAAGGCAGCTTCTTCGAATTCCTCAAAAATTGTATATCCTAATTGTATTAATTGTATATCTATAGTAATGTAAAGCGCTTTAGAGTGGCTAATGTTAGCTAGATAGGCCGCTATATCAAATGTTGTATATTATTATTATTATAACTGAAATACGACGCTGTCTGACTGACCAGTACGGACGGTTGGTTAATGTATGTCATATTAAATGTTTGTTACTATGTCTGTTTACTTGTGTGGATATGTTGAATGGATATAAACTTATAAATTACTATATATAGAATTCCATGAATATACCACCGCATATAAACAACCAAACATCCCACCAACTCCGTCCATGGAACTCCCCTTCCCATAAAAACAACAAAAACCTATGTCAATCCATGTCCACATACTGACCAATGTCCAATGAAATACCAATGCTAACAAGAATTCGTTAGTCAGGACAAGCATTTATGTACCAACGTAAGATCACTTGAAAGGGCTTTAGAATTACTTAACTGTCCATACATGTTGGATTTCACGTTACACCACACACCACTGAACCAGACGGGTTATGTTAGCCCATGTATAACAAACTTGACCATATACAATGAATTGAAATACCACCGACTATATGCATTTCCTACACAACAATAGCTGATAAAGCGGTTTATAACATAGGCTATTTGCTCAAGTTTTAATTAAGACGACGTCGTGGATCAGTATACCATATGTATATATATTAACTACCGAGACTTTTGAGAAGATATAAAAATGTCTTTTGGATGATAACGTAAACGATGTTTGACCTTACCCGATGCCGCTTACATCAACGTATACAGGATGATTGTGGCCAATCTGTCATTGACTTGTGCGTAGTCGTATGTAGTGTGCTATTTTGAATATTTGAGAAATAGATATATATATATCATATTTTACAAGATGTATCTGTAGTTTGTTATATTTTCTTTCAATGTGATTTCCTTTTCTAACTCAATACAACTTGCAACACTTCAGGATGAAAATCCAACAACAAGCTTACTTAACAAACATCAGCAGGTGGATACCCTATTTCGGGAAAACAAACCTTCACCTTACTGAAGCTCATGATTTTGACTCCGGGTTTTAAGGAGATGGAGGATAACCTTCGTTTTGCTTTACTTCTCAATCATTTCTTGGTTTGTCGTATCGACTGACTGCACTTTGTTTCCGCATTTAATCTGTAGTATATGTTATTCTGTTTCATGCGACGTTCTGATGATTTGTTTTATAAACAAACATCCCCCTGAACACCCTCATCCCAAAAGAATAAACAGCCAATAAAATCATAATTAAAAACATTAATGATTGATCAGAAATTGTCACTAAACCCTGTTGCAATTCTGCACATTCGAGCATATGCATGGATCTCTGGTAAATTTCTCGCACGGTTCATAAGCTGTAACATGCAGTCAACAGGATATTTCATCACGAATCATCACGGACGACAGCCTGTACAATTTATTACCAAAAAACCCTCATAATTTGATGCATATCTATTAGCGTGCTTTCATTGATGCAGTTAATTGTAGTGTGCAGCCAGGCGGAACAGCGAGACAAACCATGTGTCCTCTATGGCAAGCAGTTTCACCTTCACAGGCCAAATCGACTGCTAGTATACAGTTTTCGAGAACATGAATGTTTTATGAGACACTGCTGGTGTATTGTAGGTGTATTGTTCCTATATAGGTTACTAGATACCACATAAAAGGAAATGGATTGACAAACACAATAATAAAAACTTAGACATGCATGAATGAACCTGTGACAAACACCAGATAAAATAGACGAAAAACAAGCACAGGGTTTTAAAAGTGTCAAATGTCGTTTGAACTACCTACTCTATTTTTTTCCTATTCGAAAGTTTTATTTTATAGCGTTGAATTTTACTGGCAATACCAGTAATCATGTGATGTTACTATACACTTATTTTTATCTAACTTGGCTTCTTTTAGATAGGAATCTTACGTCTGTTTAGGATTAAAGTCAGGGTCAGATACACCTGTGTGTGTGACCAGGTCAAAACTACATAGCGTGTAATTGGGCAACCAAACATTATGCTAACAGAACAGTTTAATCAAAACAAATCTAAAAAGTTAAATGAGCAGTCGTTCTGATTCAGACTTGGGAAGGACAATGATAAATCATAAGCACCAGCGTTACGTGTTTTTAATTGGCAAAACCCTTCAGGGAAAAGGTCAGAAAAGGTTCATGAAATGCTTCATATTCATGAAGGACATCTCAAAAGAGACAATGTAGGAAGTCTGGAGAATGATGCCATTGAAGAAGAAAGTCGAGATCTTAATAACAGAAGGGTTAGATGGGGTGTTGCCATGGTGATAAACTTTTGGTCTTATATTCTTTAAAATGGCAGCAGAATGAAGCATATGTTTTTGAAGATCGTTCGAAAGTGTGCTAGACTGATCTAGAAGAGTGCAATAACCTTATGATCAAAATGACGGTTGATCTCACGGAAATTATGCGAGAGATGTAAAATGAATACTAATTATGTATGTTATCAGGTAATGTCATATGTTTATACAGTTAACTACAAAACTCTCTGCCTTAATATCAGTCTGTGCTGCCTGTAAAACAACGACACTGTTAAGTGACATGAAAACAATGACAAAACAGCTGCAACACCATGATAATAACAACAGTTGCATGTAAGTCAATTGCAATGATAATAAGTGCAATTATATATTGTTTTTTCTTTTTGAAAAGAAATAGTGGATGAAACTGCATTACAAGTAAAATGAAAAGTTAAGTCCAGAAATAAATAAAAAATAACAATATGAACAAACAGTTATTTTGGAATGGCAGCTATGCAATATGTGATGTTGCAACTCATTAAACTGACCTTTTCCTGACATGCTTATGACTGTTGTGGCTATACTATTGTGATAGCATACACCATTTTAATGATTTGAACAAAGAAAACGCGATGTTTAAAAGACTTACTGTAGTCTTCGAACACAGGACCACTGCCAGTTATGCACAATGGTGGTACATGGACAAGTTAAGTAACTCTCAGCAGCCAGAAAACACCTTTTGTGCTTCATCTTCAGCTCTTGGATTAGACCTAGGTTTATATGTTGGGTGTCGTCGATAAAACAGAAGACGCTTACCCTTCCGGAGCGCCTGGACCTATTTCCCTAGTACTTTTTCAGTGGCCATTATAGCATTTTTCTATGTTAATATTTTGACCAAGTTTATCGATTAAGAGTACGAAATGCGGTTTTGGTTTACACTTCTGTACTATCATTCTTTTTTTATTATTATTACATGTGTTGCAGACTTAACATCACGATTACCCTGTTTCTCCTCTAGTTTGCATATCGATTCAACAGTTTTCGCTTTTCTTGAAGCATTCCCCTTAGTTCTTCACTGAATTTTTCTTGTTGAAATTAATTTAGGATTTTTGATCCTATGCTGACCTTGTGATATATATATATATATATATATATATATATATGTGTGTGTGCTTGTGTATTACTTTGCATCATAAATGCTTTCAGCATTTCTTTGTCAGAAAAAGATATGCCATTTTGCAAAATAATGAAATGACAAAATATTGAATATCCAAATACTTAAGCAAGACAAGTGTCATATGCTATTTATAGCAGGTCACCCGTATCCTACTAGTCCTTGCCTTCTACCAATGCATAGGTCCCGCTAGGTCAGCCTGAACATATTTAAATATTCACAAGAAAAACCAATAATGTTGGCACTAGCAGACGATACTTCACCTGGTTCGCCTTGCTGCTGTTATATAGTCTGGAGAGCTGTGCAGGCAACGGCAGTGAGCGTTGGATTGTGGAACTGTTCTGTGAGAGCGGACTGAGTTGGGGACAAGGGCCGATTCCAGTTTGTCAGAAGGACTGTTGCAGTTTAGGATAAAAAGACCAAGCGAATAGCTTATATTGTGTCTAATCGCTGAGATTGGAGATATTCTTGCTTTTGGGAAGTTTTATTTTCTAATTAGTTCCGAAAGCACCCGAATTCAACATGTCTGAGTCAACGGCTGAACTTAGGAAAAAGCGTCCCCCAACTGTGAGCACTCACACCACTGTCATTAACCGAGTCTCCGGGGGAGGGATGGGTATGTCCGCCCGTAACTCCGCGGGAGGGGGATTCAAGTCGTCCTTCAATATGATGGGAGGAGCTTCTTCAAACTTACAGCTAGGAGCCGCCAAACAAATGTCGTCATCAGGAGTTAACATGGTTATAGACGCCCGGGCCAAGGAAAAAACCGCAATCCAAGATTTGAACAGGAAGTTGGGCAAGCATATAGAAACCAGTAAGTTTCTGGAAGCCCAGAATAAGGCGCTTGTTATCGAGTTAGAGGCAGAACGTAAGAAGAAGATTTTCGATGGCTCTTCTATAAAAGAATTGTACCAACAAGAATTGGATGAGTGCAGAAAGGTTATTGCCGACGTAGAAACTGAAAAGGCCCGTTTAGCTCCTAGAATAGCCACTTTAGAGGATGTGGTAGACGATGAGGAGAAAAGGTATGTTTATTTTACAACTCCTCTCATTAGGTAAAGTAAACCGATAGTTGTCGGTGGCTGTAAACGTTATGATGTCTCATTAACACTGGTATCACTGAAAGTTAGACTTAACTTAGCAGACTTCCGTGATCAGATCAATAGCCACTTATTAACATATTATAAGCATGCTGCAGCTAGCCATTTTGTTATGACTCAAAAAGGAGAAAAAACGTAGCTGGACTTGCATGACAGCATGCTTTGGAAAGAAACTGCTATTTGTTTCGGTTTAATGTTGGTAGATCTGGTTTATAGGAGATTTTGTATCCTTGGTTTCCATATTGTCTGCGTCAAACTGCAGTGTCACGCCCCTTTTCGAAACGAAGCGGGTTGCCATGACAAACATGGTAATGCATGATGCAGGGTCTGCAGCAATGATACTAATTTAAACTTCCTGTCGACTAAGACCTAATGAATGAACATATTACATTGTTTGCTTTTCACGTCTGAATCCTGTTCTTGAGTAATTAAGCCATATCATAAATACTTATTATCGTCCATTTGCATACCGATTTCGAAATTTGACGATGGCAGTTAGATATTCAACTGATATTATGCAATTATCGTCCATAGAGACCAACGAAATGAACGAAGTGTCATCCCTGTGATATACTTAATACATAAATAGTTCATTTGCATTATCATAGCTCTCTGATGTCTTCAATGTTTGTGTAAGCCATATTATGATATAAACATACACCACGAGAGTAAAATACTTGTACTAAGGTAGAAATACTGTTATTCGTTTCCCTAAAACTGTCATCGCCGATAAGTGATCGTCGTTTGAGTCTGTGTACTATATGATTTGTCGTAAGTATTACGGTAATGTGTTTGCCGCATAGCACAAACACAGACATCTATAATGCAGGCCTACACTTCACTGCGCCATCACGCTACAACTGTCGATCGATCTTCGGACAGACATCATAAACCTTACCTCCACTAATAAGACGTTAGCTACTGCCATATGTGAGCATCATCAACAATACATATCTCTCACTCTGAATATCAACCTATCGCAGATCTATCAAGATTTATTCAATAAATACATAAACATATAATAAAAAAACACACACAACTATTAAGTTTGAATCTTTCATCTATTTTCTTCATTTGTTCAAATAAAAAAAAATATCTTAAGAACAAAAACTTCACCAGAAAATGATCTGTCGTAAAAAAAGACGTTTGGTGTCAGAGAAGGTATAATGATGGCATAACTTATATTAACATTTCGTCGACAAGTAGCAATGGTTGGGCGCAGACACAAACGACTAGCAAATTTATATACGTACTTATCTTGATAATCGTTTTGTGTTGTCTTTAAGAGATATCATAAAAAAGTCAGTGCAGGGAAGAAATAAGGAACATGAATATAAACTAGTTCGATCACGTCAATGAACACATACTGTAAATGGATTTTATGATGTCAATATACATATAATTATATCACGATCGACCTCTAATTATAAGAAGCTCGGCGTGGCATGCATATCATGTCTTTCTGGTTGCTAGAAACCTAATATGATTTATAGCTCAGAGATTCGCTTTAAAATCATGGTAGTGTTTTTATATCTCTGATAATTATAAAATCATGTTATTCTTATGTTCACTCCTCTTAGGATAAAATGTCGATGACACACACGTAACAGACGACACAGGTCTCATTCTAAATGTTAATCATATTAAAGCAGACGGGGTCATATCTTAAAATAAACGTGAACTTTAGCCAGCTTTACCTGTAAAACAACGACACATCATCGTCTCGCGCTTGCTTGATGTTGGTTTCATCGAGACTGGGACTGACACAACCCCTTCGTTATAAATCAATCACTAACAGGAAATATAAGGATCACAAGTTGTGATATAACGCCGATTATAGTTATAATTATAGTTTTTTTTATTCATTAATGAATAAAATGTTATATGAACCTCAGCAATTTTATATATACTTTGTGTATAAGTGATTTTTTAGCATAATATTAAAGAAGGAAAGAACGTTTTTCTTGTAATATCAGAGTTAGCTCGAGAATGGGATTACTTGAGTTCAAAAGACATTATGATTGATAATATTGAGTGTTTTCATTTCATTCATACTGCGGTATCAATGTTAGTCATTGTACAATTAACACAAATGGGTCGTTTGCTATCAGGGTGAATGAAGGTTTTTATTAAGTCCGTGAATTCCTTGCATAGAGAAACAGGTGTTTTAGGTACGAGGTAGTCATGACTTATAGAAATGTCAGGACAAAGCATGGGTTTTCAGTACACACAGATATTACACATGAATATGTCTACCCCCACCCCCCCCCAACTAACTGCCTAGGTAAGCAGTGTTGACCTGACAGATCAGTGCACACATTAGAATTGGACACCCGAGTGATTGTTATGCCAATACCGATACTATCAATAGTCACCACGAGGAATACAAAAACCTTTGGTGAATGTCATTGATCCCTTTTCTTATACTGGACTTTTTTTGTCACGCTGACTGACATTTACAAGAACGATACCCAAAGACAGTAACAGGACAAACGACAGATTTTATTTTGTGTTTTACAGTTATAGTATGATGTTGTATCATGTATCGTCCATAGTCGCGTAGATTCTAGTACAATGTATACAACGGCTTACCATGTTACATGGGGTTTACGTTTGATATACTTTATTATTGTGAACGTTTATATATTTTGTTGTTTCTATAAAAAACACTCGTTCAATAAAATGATGAAGCTATTTGTTTCAACGTGTTACTGCTGATACGATGTGTAATGACAGCCCGCTATCATACATCTCGCTTACGCCAGTGGATCATACAGGCGGAGTTAGTATCAGGTAAATGATGCGATCAATACAGTTTGATCGATGATGCGTTTCCAATCTTTCGACAAAAAATTCTTCACGCCAAAACTGCTCTGTCAGCGCTATGCACTTGGATTCTTTTAATGTTATTTGAGTAATCAATCCACCTGAGGAACAAAGAATGTTTAATTGTCATCCGATCTAACTATGACACTTTAAAGTAACCGCATTGTATATTTAAAAAATATATATGAAGAAATTGGTGAATTCTAATTAATCTCAGTATATAAGGAGTTAATAGTTATATTATACTTAATGTTACATGACAATGTATGATATAGGCTTATCAACCGGAGCATTAGAAAATGCTTATCTATTAGTCATGTCAACGTTCATTATAAAAACTGCAGTAACACTGGATGTATGCAAGCTACACGCACATGTGACGTCACATTTAAACAGCTGAGCGGTATAACTTCATTCAATCAGATACAATCCTTATATTGCTTGGTGTTTGTCATAGACGCATTATTTTTGCGAAATCTGTTTTAGCAATGAGAAAACTGTCAATTTGATACCTTTAGGTTCAGACGAAGAAACCCCAGAGGGCACGACTATTGAATGGAGAAACCTTTGGAAATAATAAACAATCGGTGTTATCGTTTATATAAAATCAGTTGATAAAGTAAATACAACAATTCAGCCCTAAGCGTTGTTTGTTTACTTGTTAGGGTGTAACAAATGTATCTTTTGTGTCGATATAAAATTACCATGATATCACAGTCATCATATCCATCATCTGTTGAAGAAGCTTTAACATAAAAAAAAATGTTAAAGCACCATGGAAAATTTCTTAAACGATCTAGTTCATTTTTTTTAAAGTATTGAGACATTCCAATAGCATAAAGGAATAATAACAATAATAACATATCATACATTACTTCCTTAATGAAACAAATTCCCACATCGCGAATGTTTTTTTTGACAAAAAAAACAAAAACATTTTCCGACTGGTTAGGACATATTGGTAAACTGATTAAAAAGATGCTTTGGTAGCATTTTGAAAGGAGGGAAAATACACATATCTATATCCTTACTGTCCTTATACATGCAATATAACTTTTTATGTTTCAGGAATGAAACCCTTGAAGGCGAAATAGCAGCTCGTATTAAGCAGATCGAGCGTTTGAATACCCAAGTGGGTGATATGGAAGGAGAAAACGGCACCCTCAGACGTACAGTTGGTACGCAGGAAGATGAAATTAAACGTCTAAAGATGAACATACAAGACCACAAACAGAACCTGGACGACGCCCGAAAGGTATTCCATATGAACTTAATTTACACATGTACATCTAGTACCATTTGCATCCAAAATGTGTCAAAGGTTACTTTAAGAATAATCTGATATCGTGTGCAATGAGAACGATGACTATTTCCCTAATAATATCGTGGTTTATGATAACCGTGATATCGACAATCTGAACAAGCAAAGGGAAACAAAGTAATGATAACATTTCCTTTTCATTTCAGAACTTGGAGGAAGAGTGCAGGCTGCGAATTGAGGCGGAGTTAGATAGAAACCTAGCGGTTGAAGAGCGAGACTTCCTTATTGGTTGTTTAACTAAGGTAAACTTATTCGCAGTCTCCCAAAATACACACACGTACACTTCACGCATGCATCTTGCACACATGAGTGGCCGTCCTTAAATGATCTTAGCTGTTATAGGACGTTAAACAAAATTAAACCAAACCAAATGTACGTGAATTATTCTCGTTGTCGTGTTGAAATGTTAAAGTTTGATGATCATCATCATATGTGCTTTATTTGAGTTATTTAACATTCACAGGAGAATGAAGAGCTGAAAAAACTTATAAATACAGATGTCGGTCAGCTTGACATCAAAAATCTGTGGAAGGGGGAGATTACCTCATGCATCAAACAGCTGCAGGAAGACAACGATATCGAGCTGGCAAGAATCAAACAGGATTTCGCGGCTAGATATGATTCACAGGTACTAGAAAATAGCATTTAGTTGCCGGCGTCCTTTAAAGATAAAATTAGTAATTATTTTCCACATTTTCCCAATTTGATTCAATTTTATTACAAACACATGTATTTGAAAATAACTCCAATATAAAATTTCAATCTTTATTAATTCTGTATCCATTATTCAATTTCTAAAAGAAAGAAAGATATAAAACGTAAATATTCAAAGACACAATGTATTAACATGATGATAACCATTCAGAAAATGAATATTTCTGTATTTGATATGCAGATGCAACAGATTAACGCTGGTCAGATGAAGGACAACGCCAACATTGTTAAGCTCGAGTCGGAGATCTCAAGGCTGAAGAACAAACATGTCGATCAAGGACCCCTCATCGCGGACTTGAATGCAAAAGTAAGAGACAAGATTTTATAACTGTCGAAAGTATAGGTCTAAGAGGGGCAGAATGTATTCAATACATGTTGACTTGACAAATAATGGTTCAACACATACGTAATATGCACGTATATAATTCGTTTTAGATTATGAAAGTTGTAGTGAAATGAAAGCGTAGTTGAACAGAAGACAAATTGCAAAACATATTGTATGGTAAAACGAGGAAATTTCTTATACCCTGCACGCGTTATTGGTTTATATATTAAAAGTAACATTGAAATGAACTAGCTTATAAAGGCTGACTTATTTTTACTTACATATAGTCATTCCTTAATTAATCAAGCTTACATTTTGAAAACAATACATGCATTCTATATTTACCTTCAATAGCCCTTACGATGTTAAAAAAGTGTTGCTGTTCTTTCTGCCTACTCTTTAATTTATGAACATACTATTTTACTTATAGTTGAACGCTTTGAAAATGGAAAACGAAAAACTGTCTGATGAAATGTCAGAAGCGCGTGAAAGGTATGAGCAAGACAGGTGTGACCATATGGCCACTATTGAATCCCTTACCTGTGAGATGACTGATCTTCTAAACAGGTTCCGTGAACTTCAGGATCAAAAGTTGAGCCTGGAGACAGAGATCGCTACATACAGGAGATTGTTGGAAGGCGAGGAAGACAGGTAAACAGTAATAACACAGAGACATGTAATAACGGAGAAATTTTAAATATATATAATACTTTTAAACCATGCTACAACGTTGTAAATAATGGCAATTAATATATCTGGTGATGGTTTAAATTTCCCAGACATTATAGATTAAAACATACAGAACCTCGCCGAGACAATCTGTTTGGATTTCCTCTTCAATTTTCAAAGTCGTTGATCTTGAATTTTTCTTTTATTTTAAAAGACAATTTGACAGATCATCATTTCAGTTATTTCCTTGTTGGTAAAATTCAAATCATAGTGTTATGAAAAGGAATGCAGAGAGTCTCGAGTAATAATAAATGCTCATAATCGTTTGTATAGATGCAATACAATTGTAATGTATGCACCTCAAAATCTGTTTTTTTTTATCAATTGCCGTGTATCGCACACATCTTCGACGCTTCATGCTTGTGTTATGTGTTAAAATGTGCATTGGTTTGTCTATAAAAAAATCAGTAAGAACAAGTGCATATTTACCTTTGTCCGGTATCAGTGTAATACGTTATTGTAGGCACAATGTATAAAAATGTAACGATATTTGTAATAACAGCTTACTCCTCGCCCAAAGTCTTATGAACCAAGACAGCACGCAGCAGATCAATGTGAACCAGCGTGGTAGTACAACCGAATCAGGTTTAGTACTTGGTGAGATCTTGTGATTTGGAAACGAACTAATGGACTTTCTTGCGAATAGGTGATAACCAACTGTTATATATTAACGGCTTGTTTTAAAAGCTGTATGCAGATGCCTTACATGTGTTGCCGTGACATTTTGAAAAATTATACGTTTATTAACTGGTTTGTATGTCCTAATGTTTTTGTTCATAATTTTAGCTAGATCTAGATATTCTAAAGTTGTCTTTCAAAGGAATCTAACCTTACTTTATCTTAACTTGCAACATGTTGCAAGTTTCATTTCAAATTTTAGAAAGATCTTTTTGATAGTCATTTGGTTAATATTACACAGCAGGAATTGCATCTGAAAACAAAGCAGATGGAATCTACTGATTTAGAACTAGATGTTAATCTTGAAATTTGTTTAAAACACAACTTTGAACTAATGGGTGCAAAGCTCTGGCGATTTGAATACTAAGTTTGAGCTAACAAATTAATATGTGTATGTGTTCGTTTGCAGCATGGAGCGATTCGTTTCTGATTCATCCGGCGCTCGAAGCAGGGGAGCAGACAGTTTGAATGACCTTGTCCAAACTAGCAGCAGTTAGTAGTCAAATCCATTTTAACGTAGTTCTCTGTGGCGTTATCAAGAGTTATATGTATACATGTCAATGCATACAGAAAATTGTAGTCCGATTAACCTCTCTAGTGAACAGTTTCCATATTATGCCTGTGTTATATTATTGTGCCTTTTTTCCTTGCCTACGACACACATCTCTATGTGATACTAGTAGACTTTTACTCACTTACATAATCATTTACTATTGAACTTGATCATACGTCCAGAGACATTGCTTACAGTTGCATCTATAGTGGGAACACAGGCGTCATTGTTGACAAAAGCATGCTAAAGTACCCTTAATGTTACCAAACGATACTAACAAGGACTGGTGAAAGTTGTAATGTCGAATATCAAGGGGAAGAGCAGAGCAATACACAGTTATGCATACTTGATATATTGCATTTTTGGCATTGTTTGTTGCTTATACATTTATTAGTATATCTTGAAAATAAAATCGTGGAAATACGCAAAATGCATTTTTATATATGCTATAATTGTTCAGCAAAACAATGCTAGCAAGCAGCTGTAGTTTCAAAGTTGTTTTCATATAACAAAATATGATGTTCCCAAGATGTTTCGTAAAGCATGGTTTGATGGTTGACGGTCAGATATTTAACAAATTTACGAACGTTTTGGAAATATCCATATTTTGTTGAAAACGACCAGCTTCATTTCTTGAATTATTTTGGTCCATATATCGTATGTTGCATTCATGATAGTACGGTGTCTTTTGATATATTTTCGGCAATATATACTCCAATGAAATCGTGGTTGCTAGACGGATCATGCGTGTTTATCACCGTCATTTCACATGTTCATATGTCATATAAAATACCAAAAATAATTCAAGAAACACAGGCTTAGTTTAGAAACTCAAGAAACTGCACCCGAAGGTGATGGCAATTTTGCCTTGGACGCCTACTATTTTCTGTATGTATGTGTATCGTTTTGTGTGTGTTGTTCAAGGTTTCTCAGTTTAAACGCATAATTATAAAGCCCAGTCGTTCGTTTAGCTGAATTAATCTTTAATCGTTATATTTTCAAAACAAATATTGTTTTGGTTTGTTCGTGAATTATGCAACATTGAATTCCTTTGAGTATTTTTTTTTTCATTTTCATTTTTGTTTAATCACATATTTAAATAATGTTCCTAACTAAAACACACGTTTTTCTATTATTTTTATTTTATTATTTTGGTCTGGGAAACCTTTATTTTTTTACATGTTCACATGCGTGATAGTTTAGCAAGTGTAATCAAGACTAACACGGAAGCAAATTTGAATGTCGTATGTTCTCTACTAATTCAAGTATTATCCAAAAAAGGGCATGCATTTGTTACAGTCTAACCCAGTCCATTGGTTAATCTCCGATACCATTCCGGAAAATGTAAATATCGGATGAGTTTTCCGGATTGACGAGGTTCTACTGTTTGCTCATTATCTGTCATATAATGTGTTGTAACTATATCTACCTACATTTAATAATTATATCAACCTTTCAAAATTTGTATATTACAAAATTGTACCAATCAAAATATTAATTGATCGTATTTTGAATATTCAAAGTTAAGAACGATAATATTTTGACAATATTGCAACCGTATTTCAAACAAACAACTATTTATATGACACGAAACAAATACAAAACTTTTTCCGACGAATCAATAGCGTTGATATTGCGAAAACTACGTATAAAAGGTAGAAAACAATCAAAAATCCGTAGTAGGATTTTAGTGTTAGGCCCCTTTATCAATTAGTTTAGGAAAGGTATCCGTAGACTATAAAACACGGCTTGATTGCTCATTACAACATTTGCCTTTACCTATATCCTAGCTAAAGTACAATGCTATCAAATGAATGGTTAGAAAAATAAGCAAAATACTACTTAACACATTTTTAGTAAGCACATATCCTGTACCTGACAGGCTATATAGAAAGTTAGAGTGAGAATGAGGTGCTTTAGTACCGCAAATTGAACTTTTGGCCCAGTAACAACGGTCAGAGTGGCTGCTGAAACACAACGCTAGGTTGTGGATTAAGACGATAATCTGAATCCTTAGTTTAGTGGATTTTATCTTCATGCTTGGATTCAGTGTTACCTATACTAACTGTGTGGGGACACTGACTATATCACGCTTTCAAGTGGCAGTGTAAATACCACGAAATCATCAGATAGTTACATCAAGCTTTCCTGGCTGTGGTCACGACAATATACGGCTTGAACGCATGCTGCCGGATATGTTTGCTGTACTAACGGAATGCGCTGCATACTGAAGAAAGATAACCAGTCTTGATGGACAGGGGGAGACAACTACGTGATCCAACCTACAACCACACCACCAGGATTAGCGTACAATACACCATCGTAACACCAACGGAAAATAACATTCCTATCAATGTTCGAATGCTTAAGGTTCAGCAAGCTACAAAGATTCGCTTTTTGAAAATTATTGACGACAAATATCGCTTCTATTAGTGCTATAAAACAATATAATGAGAATATGACAGCAATTTTGAACATAACGTTTATGAGAGGAATTGCCAAATGTAAATTGAAAAAGTTAACTAATAATAATGATATACGAACAAGTTTTGCAAACGCGTTAAACGACTTAAGTCCTATTTCGTTGCAATGGGCTAGACAACACGAAACATACATCTAGTACAGCAGTACATGGCATCACATGATATTCACAAAGTAGGTTACTGTCAGTAAAAGCGACAAAACGATCAATTAAACGTGAAAATGATATCATCAGGATAAAAAAATAACAAATAGTTATAAATGAGAACTTCGGGAGTTGATCAATATCGTATGCGCGCGAAGTCGTTAAATATGGATTGATAAATCAAATATTGAATTGCTATCAAACGCGTAAAGGGAGGCAACCCTATTTACCGGTAAGTATAATACACGCTTTATTGGAATGATCGCTTACTGGCTGTAGCATGACATTGCTGACGGTGACAGCAAAATAGAAGAACGCATGAACTTGAGGTTTATTATGTGATGGATTATGCAAAAGAATTCTTTGAAACAATCAGTCGAGCTACACTTTATACCGTAAGTTTACTATTTCAAAGCAATTGTACTTATCTGAAAACACCGTGAGAATAAATACATTTCTTCTCCAAGACTGGGGGCACTTTAGCCAAAGCACTTCCAGCAGTATTGGCGGAGGTGGAAGTGGAATGGGTGGAGGCAGTGGATTTGGTGGAAGCGGAATGGGCGGAGGCAGTGGATATGGTGGAGGCAGTGGATATGGTGAAGGCAGTGGATTTGAGGAAGGTGGTCAATTCGTACAGAGCTCAGGTGAAGTACCATTGCACAGATACATCGTACATGGATGTGTCTATATGGTAGTAAAAATAGTAACTCTATCCACCCAAAAGACTGCAACAAATTTTAACGGACCGACACACCACAACAATAGTGAACATAGCTATAAAGTGTGGTATATACTAGTTAAGTTGTGTAGTTAGAGGAGCGGCTATAGAGCCTCCGCGTCAAATCCTACCAATATATTTAGTGTACATAACATGTAGTTACAACACCAACAACCACCAAACACTGCTAGACATACAATATTAAAACTGATGAAAGACAATAGCTGATATTAATCCGTGTTAAAAGATGCGGGAATGTATATTTTTAGTTGGAAAGACTGGATGTTAAGAGTTATGAGGAATGCACGTTAGAGCTCTTAGGAAAATGCTTAAGAAAGGGGGGATTTTACGTAAGGACATGGGGAATAACGTTAGAATATTAAAGGAATTTATATCAAAACAGAAGAAATGTCAGGAGGAATCGGAGATATACATGCAACAAGAGGAACATTTGTTAGAATGGGAGGAGTTATGAAAACATGGGAGGAGTGTATGAAAACATGGGAGGAGTGTATGAAAACATGGGAGGAGTGTATGAAAACATGGGAGGAGCGTATTTAATAATAGGATGAATATATGGAAGAAATGGGATGAATGTGTGTTGAATTAAGCATGAATGTTAAAATTGGAAGAATATATTAAAAAAAAACCACGAAGAATGCTCGTTAGAACTGCGCAGTATTTACGGTAGACTTTGGAGGAATGTATAGGAGGCCTTTGAGGAAATTACGGTAGACTTTGGAGGAGTGTATAGGAGACCTTTGAGGAAATTACGGTAGACTTTGGAGGAATATATAGGAGACCTTTGAGGCCTATGTTCGTTGGTACTAGAAGGAATGCTATTGAGAACTATAGTAGGAATGTGAGTAATGTAGGTTAGACTGGGAGACGTATACAATAACATAGGAATGCGGGACTGTAATGGGTACAATATAAGTAGGGGGATTTTGCTAGAAATGTGGGGTATGTATATGTGTGTATTGAATACATGTACAAATGAGGCATATTATACATATTAAATATATATTGATTGTATTATCAATATCTATAACTTTGAACAGATTTTTGTTGTGTTACCAGGACCTCCTGCTGTTTCATGTGTTCCGTCTGTTTGTGGCGTTTTGCATGGAACTGTCAACGACACATTACACTTGGCGTTACACAACTCAAAACTAATTGTGTTTTAACTAACAATATGTGATAGGCCTAGAGGCTAGTCAAAAGAGCTACCAAAGCTGTTTCATAGATATGCAAGAGTAATCGTTCTTTTCCTATCTCTCATTTCAGATTGTGAATATAGTTATTGATAGATTGTTTCTGTCTGATTTTATTTGCATAAAGACTTGATGTCTTCATTTGAAAATCTATAATAAAAATCCCGATGACAGGTTTTGTATATTAAACAATGATTGCACATCGACAAGTGTACGTATATACATGTAATGCCAAAAATTCATATTTATATGCTAGTATGTTAAACTAAATTAATAATATGGGTATTTTGATGATAATTTAAATATTTATACTATTTTTTAAGGATTTATTTTAGTAAGGAGAGAAATATATTTTGACAGGAAAATTTGAAAATAAAAATACAGTTAACATAGTCAAAATACAGCAATAATGTTCATAATTATCATAAATAAATAAAATAAAAATGCAATATATGCTTTTAAATTCGTACAAATTGACAGATGATATTACTTAATTCATTCAATATAGTCTAAATATTCCATGATTTATTCCGGGTGCCGCCTGCTTTATGCTAATAAAAAGCGCGATATTATTTGCTTAGATATTCATCCCCCAACCCCCAATATTTCTTTATTTCAAAGAGCTATCATTCCTATCAATTGTTAAACAGGCATGGGTGGTGGTAGCCAGTTCAGCAGTTCCTCCGAGGGTAAAGTGTTCATCAAGAAGAAGGCAACAGGACACCTCTGTATCGAAGAAGCTCAGGGCAGTGGCCATTTTGTTACGCTTGCCTACGGTACAAAGGAAAAGAAGCCATCAGGGGTAAGCATGACTTTTGTAACACATCCGACATCATGTTATAGCTGTGTCAAAACATATATCAATTCGTAGAAGTAGTTCCTGACGAGCTTAGTTGATGGGGACTTACAGGAGAAGTCAGACGTATGGTGTTGGGTATACATGCACTTAAATGTGAAGTATGACATTTTATTGAATAAGGCCTGATATACAGTCTTTTTCATATCCATCAATTGTGCGTTAAAACATCTTGGGACTTTAAGACAATTGTAAAGTAAAGATGAAAGTAAATTAAATCATATGTAGATTTTTGTTTAACCTAGTATGCAAACGGAAACTAAAATGATAAATTTTAACGAAAATATTGACATCTGAAATTGCTTTTCCTACTTTGAGGCATTGATGCTACAACATATCGTATAATAATCATATGCATTCGATCAAACTGCACTAATGTAGAACATAAATACAAACAGATCCGTGTAGCTATCTTTACGATTACAGTCATGATTCCTAGTCCCGTGAACTTATACACGTAATGCACGTGTGAAGTAGTTACAATACATACACTACAACTATACGACACTAATATTAAAAACTTAGCATGAAAAGCTTAGCACTAACAATTTCATAGCTTTGCTTATAGAGAAATGCCGCTCAGCCTCAAAAGGTAAGCTATTCCCATTCAAACCACGACTTCTGTCTACTCACAATCTATATATACCATTACATGTACGTGTGTTCCCTGGCTGTCATTTCATCTTTGATCCATTGTGATGATAACAAATTCACGTTACCTACATTACATAATGAAACTACCCCTATTAGGAATCGACAGTTCCTATCGTTGTGACAACTCCACATAACATCTACAGTTATGTCGTGATAACAACGCCACATAATATCTACAGTTCTATCGTGATAATAACTCCACATAGTATCTACAGTTATGTCGTGATAACAACTCTACATAGTATATACAGTTATGTCGTGATAACAGCTCTGAACAATATCTACAGTTATATCGTGATGACAACTCCACATCGTATCTACAGTTGATCGCGATAACAACTCCACATAGTATCTATAGTTCTATCGCGATAACAACTCCACATAACATCTACAGTTCTATCGTGATAACAACTCCAGATAGTATTTACAGTTCTATCGCGATAACAACTCCACATAACATCTACAGTTTTATCGTGATAACAACTCTACATAGTATCTACAGGTATGTCGCGATAACAACTCCACATATTATATACAGTTATGTCGTGATAACAACACACACGTTATTTACACAACATATCATGAGAACGACCACTGTTGTTTTTATAAATATTGTTTTAATATGGTGAAGGTATACATATTTGCTGCACATTTTCATGAAATTCATTCCGTAATAATTTTATATCGTTTTAAGAACTTGAACTTATTTCCAATGATTTCGTTATGTCAATATTTTCATATTTTTGCTAACAGTTACAATTGTATATTTATACAAAACCTTGTAGTAAACTAAATACAAAATACAACGGACTTTCATATTTGTTTCCTTATAGTAGAGCTTAAGTGAAAAAAATGAATTCTTAACGTTACATATTATAGTTAATACAAGAACAGATCGATACTGAACAATATCGATGTCAAATATCACAGTACAAATATTTATTGAATAATACAAATGGATTACGCTGAACGATTCTAAGGGTCTGTTCACATATACCTAAAGTGATATTAACGCTAGAATAGTCCCTAACTATCATCCTCTTTCTGTTTCCGTTCAACGCTTTGATCGTCTCTGATAAAAATTGATATGATTCAGATCAAAATATTCAAGCATGCAAAAGTTGAATAATAAGGTTAAACACATTGCAGTCCAAAAGATAATGTGATGTAAAAAATGTATTTATCTATTATGTGAAAATAATTTCTTTTGTGTAGAATGGAACAATGTTTTCTCAGTATTCAAAACAATTCACCAACATTTTCCGCTTGACATGATATAAGAAACTGAAATTCTCAAACATTTTAGGTAAAAAAATATAGCTGAATCGTTTTGTAATATGCTGGAAATAGTCATCGTCATATTTGATATGAAATTACACAGCTTTATCATACATATATAGGTGTCTCCTTTGATCGCAAATCAAATATGGTTGATTACAGTGATACTAGTTGACACCCTATATTTGGAGGAAGGTTTGTCTCCGGCAGATCTTCATTTCAGATAGTGTTAATAATTCTAGTGGAATCCTTTCAAAACTTCTATAACTTGTATTGTCTATATCTCTAACGTTCACGCATGTATGTTTTAATCAGTCTATAAAGTTATCCAGACATATGACATACTTAAAAAGGACGCCGGTGAACATATCATTGACGATACCGTGAATAAAACGGTCATCGCCATAGCATACTTGCAAAACGCGTGGAAAACGTAGACGCATTTTACTGAACGCAAAGCTTCAATGTTCTGTGTCAATTTTCAGCCTATGAACCTGCTCGGATGGAAGGTATGCCGACAGATGGAAGGCGACACTGCCTACTACGCAGTGTATGAATTCACATCCGATTATACCCTGCAGCCAGGTGGAAAAATGAAGGTGAGCGTTATTTTACAAAATAGAGAAAAATACTTCCACCAGAATCGATGATATTAGTTTAGATGCATAAGGTTTGTGAAATTGTCCAAATTTTTAAAATTGATCTTCTGTTTGTCGAATGTTTTAAAACCACGAGATCAAATAAAATAGATGAAATACAGTTTCCTGCGATTTTATAGAGACTCCTTTAAGGCCATAGCACCGAAAGCCCTGGTCTGTTATATATTTTCCTTTTTAATCGTACTACACCATCAGAGTAACCCTCGGTAACCTCCATGCCAAATGTTGGCATCTTCGGATATACCTGTCAATTGTCTGAACCAGTAATATAAAAAAATCAGTATGTTACAAAACGTCAAAATATGTAAAATATGCTTTATTCGTCTATTTGTTTATATGGTAAAATTGTGATTGATTTTCTTCTGCAGATATTCGGGTCGAATTACAAGAATGAGTCTAGCAAGAGGAAAGAAGACCTTGTTGCAAATTTCCCAACCTGGAGCAGTGGAGGCGGTAGATTCTCACTGTTAGACCCATCTAAGGTATTTTATAATGTCACAGATTCCTTAAAAATATTAATTACAGGATAAGGATAGATAAGTCTGTTATCAATAACGTATCTGAAAGAAATTTTAAAGTGTGTTATCGATAACGTTTTTGATAAGGCTCAGTCCCCTGGAAATAGTTTTTCTGATCTTTGTAGTTGAATCCGTTATCAATAACTTACCTGAAACTTCCATGTGCTAAACGGTTATATTGTTATGTGTTTTAGGCCGAGAAAGGCTTTCTTACCATCGAGTTTAGATAGACAGTACGACCTGATCACAAGGCAACATTGGTAAAGTGTCCGAGTCATCGACGAATGGAATCCTCGATTTTTCTTGTGTAATGAAGAGACTCAACTTTCGGTGCTGACCGCTTGACCCACGTTGCCGATTCGCGCCATAGTGTACACGTTTTTCATATATTGCTTTATATGCTTTTTAATGGCTTGACGCCAGTTAATGTACTCATGTGGTGTTTCAAAGCGGTCATCGTGTGAACATGTTTGGTTGGATTGAAGCACATGACGTCATCAGACATCGAATCCAATGTTTCAATTAGTGAATGTGAAATACAAATGTGGAAATGAATCACCAGGAATGATAATTTTATGGAATGTGTAATTCAATAAATATCTTACATGTCACATTTTTCATAAAGTGAGCGTTTTAAAAAAACATCCATTTCAATCATATTATTTAGACGTAGTTTAGTTCAAGAATTCCTTTTATATACTGATTTTTTTTTGTATGGTAGTTTGAAAATTGAAAAGCGTTGTAAATACATTGATATACTTTTGTTGATGAGCTCTTACTGACGGTTGTGATTAAGTATAGTTTACATGCCTAAATATTATTGGACCAATATCCAATTTGGAAGGTGAAAAATAGAGGTTGTGAGCTTCTGACATTCCTTAAATGAGTAACAACGAAATGACTTACCCTCTAACATATATGCAATGCGTAGAGATTCTGTAAGCAAACTAAGAATAATTGTCAATTTTAACAGAGACGATAAAAAAATTGTTGAAAGAATATCCGCAAATAAATGAATGCCATTTGATATTTAAACCACGAAATTTTGTATGTATTTGTTGACACTTATGTTAAGTTTATTCACAAATTAAATATAAGGGTAAGTATTTGTTAAATGGAGAGTGAGTTTCCCAGGATGACAATTTCCTTGTAAATACTCCGTTGTAGTTTGTTAATTTCATGTTGTCAATCAAATATTGTGATGACAGAGGCGATCGACAAACGTACACTCTGTAGCAATACCAGTGTGATGCTGAGGGAACAGTATCTTTGTCACAAAGACTTTGCGAAATCAAAAGTTTAAATTTAAGTGGCTTCCACTAACATAAGACAACATTATCTGAACTGCTTTGACAAATACAGTTTCCTTTGCAGGTATACTTACTGTAAGTGCATATTATATTTTAATAAATTTTATTAAGCGTTAAAATGTGTTTCTAGTTTTCATTTAATATCTTTAACAAGTTGTCAACCCAGGCTGTTGTACAATCGAATTTCTTTGATAGATGTTTGTTTTTCGTCTTTTGATAAGACGGGATATGACTTTAAGACACATTGAATTTTGATTTGATAAGAAGGGACATAATTATGATTTGACTAGAAGGGACATAATTATGATTTGATAAGAAGGGACACAGTTATGATTTGATAAGAAGGGACATAATTATGATTTGATAAGAAGGGACATAATTATGATTTGATGAGAAGGGACATAATTATGATTTGATTAGAAGGGACATAAGTATGATTTGATAAGAAGGGACACAATTATGATTTGATTAGAAGGGACATAATTATGATTTGATGAGAAGGGACAAAATTATGATTTGATTAGAAGGGACACAATTATGCTTTGATTAGAAGGGACATAATTATGTTTGATAAGAAGGGACATAATTATGATTTTATTATAAGGGACATAATTATGATTTTATTATAAGGGACATAATTATGATTTTATTATAAGGGACATAATTATGATTTGATCAGAAGGGACATAATTATGATTTGATAAGAAGGGACACAATTATGATTGGATTATAAGGGACATAATTATGATTTGATAAGAAGGTACACAAATATGATTGGATAAGAAGGGACACAGTTATGATTTGATAAGAAGAGACACAGTTATGATTTGATAAGAAGGGACATAATTATGACTTGATGAGAAGGGACATAATTATGATTTGATTAGAAGGGACACAATTATGCTTTGATTAGAAGGGACATAATTATTATTTGATTAGAAGGGACATAATTATTATTTGATAAGAAGGGACACAGTTATGATTGGATAAGAAGGGACATAATTATGATTTTATAAGAAGGGACATAATTATGATTTTATTATAAGGGACATAATTATGATTTGATTAGAAGGGACATAATTATTATTTGATAAGAAGGGACACAGTTATGATTTGATAAGAAGGGACTCAATTATGATTGGATTATAAGGGACATAATTATGATTTGATGAGAATAGACATACTTATGATTTGATAAGAAGGGACACAATTATGATTGGATTATAAGGGACATAATTATGATTTGATCAGAAGGGACATAATTATGATTTGATCAGAAGGGACATAATTATGATTTGATGAGAAGGGACAAAATTATGATTTGATTAGAAGGGACATAAGTATGATTTGATTATAAGGGACATAATTATTATTGGATAAGAAGGGACATAATTATGATTTTATAAGAAGGGACATAATTATGATTTTATAAGAAGGGACATAATTATGATTTTATTATAAGGGACATAATTATGATTTTATAAGAAGGGACATAATTATGATTTTATAAGAAGGGACATAATTATGATTTTATAAGAAGGGACATAATTATGATTTTATTATAAGGGACATAATTATGATTTTATAAGAAGGGACATAATTATGATTTTATTATAAGGGACATAATTATGATTTTATAAGAAGGGACATAATTATGATTTTATTATAAGGGACATAATTATGATTTTATAAGAAGGGACATAATTATGATTTTATTATAAGGGACATAATTATGATTTTATTATAAGGGACATAATTATGATTTGATTAGAAGGGACATAATTATGTTTGATAAGAAGGGACATAATTATGATTTTATTATAAGGGACATAATTATGATTTGATAAGAAGAGACACAGTTATGATTTGATAAGAAGAGACATAATTATGATTTGATAAGAAGGGACACAATTATGATTTGCTTAGAAGGGACATAATTATGTTTGATAAGAAGGGACATAATTATGATTTTATTATAAGGGACATAATTATGATTTGATCAGAAGGGACATAATTATGATTTGATTATAAGGGACATAATTATGATTTGATTATAAGGGACATAATTATGATTGGATAAGAAGGGACATAATTATGATTTGATAAGAAGGGACATAATTATGATTGGATTAGAAGGGACATAATTATGATTTGATAAGAAGGTACACAATTATGATTGGATAAGAAGGGACACAGTTATGATTTGATAAGAAGGGACACAATTATGATTGGATTATAAGGGACATAATTATGATTTGATAAGAAGGGACATAATTATGATTTGATGAGAAGAGACATACTTATGATTTGATAAGAAGGGAAGGGGTATAACTTTTTTTCGGTATTGTTGTCAAGCGTAAAGTCGTTAGAATTTGGCGTAAAAAATACGCTACACATTCCCACGCTTTTCTGATGTAGCGATATTTGTGTCGCATGACGTGAACATATGTTATAATTGGAAAATTTCATGGGTTTCCCGTTCAATACGATATATCTTATTCACTTGCATCAAACGAATATGTGATAGCAACAAAAAATCCCAGCGTTGTGGCAAAATTTGTAGCAGTCTGGACAAGTTATATCTATTATTCTACGATTGAGGTTTTAACCTAAAAGACAGTTGTATTTAAGGTACATACATATACATTGACAAAAAAACAACATTTGTAAACATCGCTGTGATTTTATGTAAATCATGTTATGTCCCTTCTGTCTTTCAGAAGATGAATTTTTACCAAATAGTTGACATTTTATTGTTTGGTTAAAAAGTACATTTGCGTGCTGTAAGACAATTATTGAGTGACAATAGTGCAAAATGTAGGGATATCGAGCGTGAACGGAATATTCTAAACGACACAATTAATGCCATTAACAATTTATATAGTCACAATTAAATAAATTCAAGTATGCATGATCCGTTCCCTCATGGTTGTTGGATTGTCAGTAAGTCATTTTCATAACATAGATTTGGTGTCCAGCAGCTTTGCTGCATTTTCTTGTGTATATGGACATTAAGTTTTGTATGGAAAGAAACGGTATTTATTACATGGCGATTTTGTTTAAAAGAAACATTAATCTGCCTTTGTTAAGAAAGGACATTAGTTTTGATTTTAAATGGAGCTTAGGTGTTGTTAAAAAATGACATGACATTTTGGTTATGATGGAACAAAATAAAGAATGATATGAATTTTTTTAGTTATGATAAAACAAAATGCTACTTGAATGTGAATGTTTACGGACACGTTAGTACATGTTTACGCCTGTGTGTGCTCTTCCTCCACAAATTGTATAGCTCAAAGGTATTCACACAAGTCTTGTTTGTTCAACACATTACTTCTCCAGCACACACGCAGGCATACGCACATATGGAGGTATACTCCATGTGACATATGACTAGTAGTTAGCGCATGATAAGGCAGCTCCTGCGAATTCCTCAAAAAATGTATTTATCAATGTATATGCTAATTGTATTAATTGTATATCTATCTACTGTAAAGCGCTTTAAAGTGGCTTATGTTAGCCAGATAGGGCGCTATATCAAATGCTGTATATTATTATATTATTTAAACTTCCAATACAGAAAGATAGCTAGAAGAGCGTTACCCGTGCATTGTTTATAACTTAATTGTCCAAGAACAAAAGTCATTGCACCGCCGACGTGGTATACTATAAAATAACCAATATTGAACATGTGCTATAATTGATCTGTTCACATAAATATGTTGTGACATCTCCTTTGAAGACGTGTTTTTCTCCTCATTCTATTGTCTAGAAAGTTGCCATTTGTTTAGCTTGATAAATATCAGAACGCTACCAATTACAAGCTTAATTTAATTGTAAAGCAATACATGTCCAGTGAATTATATATCTTTGGAAAACATGTGTTGTAATTTTGTCCGGCTTGAGTTGACATCTGTCATGAAATTCATACATTTTGTTTCTTGGACAAGCTCTTGACTGCCAAATTAACTGCGACAGGTAAACAACGTATATAGGAAAAGCATGTATGTTACTATAAATTATTGAAAGTTTATGAACAGAAAATCGAAATTATCTCGCTCATCGTCCTCCTTAGTAGTGAATCGTCCCTGTAGGCCGTTTTGTAAGTAAAAATCGTGAAAAATGGCTTCAATGTCAATGTAGAAGAGTGTACATAGTGATCGTTATTTGAAGTACAGGATATTTAAGCATTAAACTGCCTTCTTTTGTCCTATAATTCTCAAAGATTGCAGACAAATTGAATAACGTGCGTTAGCGCGTTATGACTAATTTGTCTGCAATCCTGTCAGAATTATAGGACAATAACTCTCCAAAGAATGCAGTTTAATACTTATATTTCCGTTTTTGATTTAAGTTTTTCTTAAATTTCCTACCTGTTATCGCAATTCAAAGTCAAATTTCGCGCTGGATTTTACATGTAATAGGACTCGTTCTTGTGACGTTACGCGAAAACCTGACAGTTCCCGGCAAAACAAAATATAGTTCGTGGAATTAAACACAAAATCATCAATTTAATTTCAATAATTTGATCAATATATTTCACCGTGAGGATATTCACCTTTTATACAACATAACTACATTAAATAGTTGCGAGTTACATTGAGCATCGGTCAAAACGACGTCATTTAGTCACGTCGTCACGTAACATGTTCTGCATAACACTACACAAATGGGAACTATGTGAGAATTATGATATGATATCTTTTTATTTTGTTTGGTAAGGTTATATACTGGCAATGCAGAGCCAATGGAAACATGTAATCTTAAAGAATATTTTTTGTTACTTGTCCTGCCCCACTTATATAAAGCATCTCAACTCTTGAGATTTCCTTAAGTCTAAGATTTCCCGTTGACAATACATTGCTTGAGGTTTTCGACTTTCCTGAACTTTGAAATGTTTTCAATAAGTGGTCTCAGATAAATGATATGCTCTGATCGTCGATAATTTCAGCAAGTAGACAGGCAGTTTGTTCCCTCAGCATAGTCTACAGTCTGCAGTGTTAGATTTACTTCCCTCCGCATAGTCTACAGTCTGCAGTGTTAGATTTACTTCCCTCAGCATAGTCCACAGTCTTCAGTGTTAGATTTACTTCCCTCCGCATAGTCTACAGTCTGCAGT